TCAACATATAATTCTAACCACTTCGATCCCTTAAATCTTTGGATGTAAGGAAGTCATTTTTTCTTAAGTCTTAAATTACCTCAACATTTACCGCTCAGTTTCTTTCTGGATTTAAGTGAAAAAGTCCATCCCAACTGATCCTCTCATTATCTAATAAATTCTGACTATATAGTCTCTCAACTTTTATCTCCTCTAAGAGGTTTTTTCACTTTTCTAATATGGCTTTATAAAAGCAATGTCCCAAGGGCTGGCCTGGTGGCACAGTGGTTAAGTTCGCATGCTCCGCTTTGGCAGCACAGGGTTCGCCAGTTTGGATCCCAGGTGTGGACCTACACACCACCTGTCAAGCCATGCTGTGACAGGCATCCCACATATAAAGTAGAGGAAGATGGGCATGGATCTTAGCTCAGGGCCAATTTTCCTCAGGAAGAAGAAGAAGAGGATTGGCAGCAGATGTTAGCTCAAGGGATAATCTTCCTCAAAAAATAATTAATTAATTAAAAAAAAATAAAAGCAACATCTGGTCTTCTAAATAATTTTAGTTACTATTTTCTAATTTCTAATTTGATTATTTTCATCTTAGAGCTTTTCTAACTGAAATGTGTATGAAGTATAGCAACAAGAACTTCCAAAGAAACAAATACACTGTAGGTGGCATAGTGGTTAGGTTCACCTGTTCCACTTCATTGGTCCAGGGTTTGCAGGTTCAGATCCTGGGTGCAAACCTGCACACTGCTCATCAAGCCATGCTGTGGTGGTGTCCCACATAGAAAATAGAGGAGGACTGGCAATGGATGTTAGCTCCGTGACAATCTTCCTCACCAAAAATAAAAAGGGGGGGGGTACTGTAATTCCTTGTATTTTCCCTAATTTCCAGTATCTTTTATGAGGTCAGTCTACAGTGAGGGCCTCCCAGACAGCAATTGTCCGTTAGGCCCAAGTCTTTAGGGCACCATCAGGACATACTCCAAGATCCCTTCCCTGAGTCACTGTTTATTGTTTATCAAACTCTTTCTGTGAGCCTGCTTTGGTTTCTTTCTTGTGAATGCCCAAGATGACCCTGTTGAAGTTCACTGTCTCCTTTGCTTGCCCACATTCCCCATTTCGTTGTGTGAGGCCTCACCCTTCACCTTGGCACATCATTCATGTTGAGGGCCCCTGGTACTAGCCAGAGCCAAGTTAACTGGAGATTTCTCTCTTTCCTTCAGATCACTTATGGCAATATCAGGTGGGCTTGGTTCCAGCCCCGATTTCTGGGCACCTCCTAACTCTATCTGGGGTAGTGGTTTGCAGTACCATGAACATCACAAGTATCTGTGGAGCCATTTGAAAATGCAGGTGTCTAGAACCTTCCCAAGACCTCATGAATGCGAATCCACGTGGATGGGGTCCAAGCTTCTATTTGTTGTTTTTTAGAGCTCAGGGGGTGATTCTGATGTACAACCAGATTGAAAATAAGTAATCTTAAGAATTGATCATTCAGTTTACATTTTCTTTTTATATTTGAAGGCATTTTTTTTTTTTTTAATTTTAAGGACCGAATATGTTCCCTGTCGAAAACCTTTCCTCTGTAGGGAGTCGGCAAAAGTAAATTCCTAGCATGAAGTGTCCAGTTCACCTGAATTCTCTCCCCTGCTTGCCTGACACTCCCAGGTGAGCCCTTAGCTGCACTGTCACTGGCTTGTGGCAGAGCCCATCTGAGCTGCTTCGTGAAAGTTTATGATTTGTACAATGTGCTGCAACTTTATAAGTCCACTCATAAACTTACACGCTCCATCATCCCAATGAAGTAGCTTTTATTATCCTCGATTTTCAGATTAGGAAACAGGCTAAGAGAGTTTACGTGACTTGCCTAAGAACACTAAGAAATAGTGGCTAGAATCAGACTCGTATCTTCCAAGTCCACATTCAGTACTCTTTCACTATCCTGTGCTATTCTTCCTACTGATTAATATTTTTATCATTTTATTTTTAAATAATTTCAGACTTAAAGAAAAATTGCAAAAATAGTACAACGAATTTCCACAAACCCTTTACCCACATTCTCCAAATATTAATGTCTTACTACATTACTTAATCGTCCTCTCTTCTCTCTCTTTGTGTACGTGTTAATTTAACTATTTATTATATATTTATTTAATTATTTATTATATATTTGACAGTAAATTACAGACGTGATTCCCTTTGACCTCTCAATTCTTCACTGTATGTTTCTTAAAACACAGATATTCTCCATCACCACAGAACAATGATTAGAAGTCTCGAAATTAATACAGTACTACTGTCTATGTACAGACAACTAAATCTCACCAGTTTTATCCACAAATGTCTTTTGTAGCAAAAGAAGAAAAATATTTCTGGTCTAGGATCCATGCAAGGATCACATGCTGCATTTGGTTGTGTCTCTTTACTGTCTTTGTCTTTGAAGGTCCTCAGCTGCCTTTGTTGTTCATGACCAGATTAATTATGTAGGCTCTCCTCTGACAGGCAGGAATTGCCCCAGCAGTTTTGGCTCTCAGATCATGATGGAATTGCTTAGAAACCCATGGCTTCACTGACATACCGCAGGACGGGCCACAGCATTGCGAAAATATTGGAGAACCAATAATGATATTTATTACGTAGGATTTACTATATGCTGGGCACTGTTTTAAACGCTTTCCATATATTAACTATTTAATCTTCATAACAACTTTATATAATAGGTATTATTATATTATAGACGTGGAATCTGAGAAACAGATAAGTTAAGTAACTTACTCAGGGTCATCCAGCCAGGAAATGGCAAGGCCAGGAGTCAAAACCCTACAGCCAGGCTCCCTCCCTAGTGTGAGCATTAACCAGCATAGGCAGAACCTGAGGCACTAAACAGAGTTGTGTGTCCTTAGGCGAGTTATTAACTCTAGAAACGTCAGTCTCATCAACTGAAAAATAGGACTAATAATATCTACTTCATAACGTTAGTTGTAACGAGTACACAAGATAATCTATTAAAGCATTTAATATGTTGCAAGGACTCCATTTTTTTTTAAGAGTAAGTAAAATTTTAAATGTAAACATTGAAAAATTATGCGTGACTCCCACTGAGATATAGCAGCTCTCAGAGAGTACTTCTGTAATCATTGGGGGCGGGGAGGAGAAGGGAACAGAAGCAACAGACATCTATTTTTCAGGTTTTTTGAGGGGCTAATTACAACCAAAACCACCTTCAAGGCGGAAGAAGCCAAACAATGATGAGTCACAAAACACAATTTTAGAATGAACTTCTGGGAAGGACTCCTGTGTCTTTGGTTCTATTAGAAAAGAGGTATGTATTTCCCCTCAAGAGGAAGGGCAGCACCCTTCTGACCAGCAGCATTCTGGGTGGAGGAGTAATTACCTTCCAGCTTTAAAAAGAGCGCTGTTTTCATATGTAGGTGGCAGTAAGAAAATCAAGAGGTCTTTAAAAGAGAACTCTGAGGACACTGAGTTTACAGAATTACTGAAATATATAGTCATTTTCATATGAAGTTCTCATTTTATCTTAAAACATTTCAAATGTGGCTTCTGAACCTATGGAGAAGATAAACGTATCTGCAGGAGATAGTCGTATGACTAAGTTCAGCTTTATCTTTTGTAGGTTGTGAGTAGATTTGAGGGGGCACGTCTGCAGCCCGAGGGCTTTCTGGGCTCTCCACTGCGAGAGCAGACAAGGATAGTTTCCTTCTCCTTTCTATCAAGGCTTGAAGGTTTCTTTTGAGCCCTTCCTTCTGGAGACCTGTGGACTTCCTCCAGCTACCACCTCTTTCCTCACAAGTGTCCACTTCTGAGCTCCTTATTTTGGGAGCCAAAAATAAGCAGTGACTTGGAGAGGGAGGACAAAGAGGCAGAGGGACTCAGCAAAAGTTCAGAAAGGACTCAGGCTCCCATGTGCACAGCCTCTGCAGCCGTCCCCGCAGCTCAGCCCTCTGCTCCTCGCCCGCTCGAGGCTGGGACGTGCAGGCTTGGGCCTCTGTTCCTCTCCCGGCAGGTCCGCCAGCTCTCATCATCCATAGCCTGCCTCAACCTGCATCTTCCCCGACCCACCAGCTCTCACGATAGACCTGTTCATTGCTTGTTTTAAAAGCAGCCTTTTCAACCACATTGTCCACTCAGCCAACAGGAAAAGCAAAAGTAGCCCTAGTGTAGAGGCCTATGGCTGTAAGCAGAACTGGTGCAGAGCGGAAATGTGGGGCCCCTCGTTCAAAGATTAAGAACTTCAAGAGGGAGACAGCGGACGTTAAATGGGCACGTGGCCCTGTGCAGCAGGACAGCTAACATGCCAATAAAGCCATCCTTGGCTGCAAGGGGCACAAGGAAGGTGAAAGTTGCTTCTCTACTGAATAAGCTGGATATATTTAAAAATCAATATCATATTAGTGGAATACTAACAAAATTGTACCTCAGTCAACTTCAGATTGACTAGATTTTATCTGAAACTCTATGGCACAGGTACTGGAACTCCATGACAGTGGGATAAATTCTGTGAATGATCCAGCACATCTATACTCTGATTTAAAAGGAAAAAAGAATAACTCTACAGGTGTTTTTGATGTTCAACCAACATTAAGAACCACTGGCAAACAGATGTCTGCGTTCCACCTGCAAAGTGTCTGATTTGGTTGTCTGTGGCGGAGCCTGGGCATCAGCAGTGTAAGCTCCACTGGAGACTCTGATACCAAGCCAGACTTAATAAAACATGCAGAGATTGCATGCTAGCTGCATACACCAGAAGTTCCACTGGGGAAGTGGTAGACAGGACTAGAATCACTAGCAGCATCGCGACCCATTTTTGCTCTGCAGTGTACTCAGAGCAAAGATGAGAGATTCTCTGGAAGCTTTTCTTGAGTCTATACTTGAAGCAATTATTAAAAATTTACATGTATTTGAATCCCATTGTTACGGAATTTGCAGTAATTTAGAGAGTCATCTGCAAATACAGAGTCTACTGGAGGGGAGATCACAGAGCCAGTGTGGCTTACCGTTGGAAGATACAGGTTGGAGTTCCAGTCCTGCCGACTTAGCAAGTTCCCCACTTATTATATAGAGAAGTCAGGGGACCTCTGAGCCTCAGGCTCCTGATCTGGACTGAGATGAGGGGACCAACTTCACAGTGCTGTTGGGAAGGAGATGAGTTTACATATGAAATGAATGTAAGCTGTTGTTCTTATTTAAATCTAACAGTGACAGAGAACAAACCTTCAGGTTAGTAACGTATCTTTACCCATCACGTTAGCATAGCAATTGTATATTCGGCTAAAATGTGCTGTTCCTCCATCTATGTCAAATCATTTCATCCTCAGAATTCAAGTTAAATGTTAATCCCTTAATGAAATATTTTGTGTCCCCGCTGGCAGTTAATTATTTCTGCTTATACCTTAGCACACTGTAGTGATTTTATTTGATTGCACAGCTTTTCCTCCTTCTAGGCTATGAGATTTCTGAGGACTAGGTCTGACCCGACACTGACTTCTGGATGGGATGTGCTCAGTATGTTAGTTAAGTGAATGCGTGGCAGAAGGAGGAGAAAGGAATCAAGCATAGGTGAGAATAGTTTAGGCCATTTAAGATATTTAGCAGTGTGAAGGAAGGAATTACAGGAGAACAGGAACCTTGTCTGTATGGACATTCCCCTCCACCAGTTAGTTCACAGTCAGCGCTGGGCACGTTGCAGGTGGCTCAGGAGAAATTTGTGAATGAAAGGAACGAAGAAAGGTCAGCTTCAGACAAAGGTTTCTGTTGCATGGACTTCTCCTCATGCTATATTTCATTTTCTGTTGCACAACCCGCAGTGTCTGTTAGCTGTGTGCTATTCTCTCTCCCAGAGGCTCCAGGGCAGAACCATCAGGCCCTCCCCAAGGCCTGAGCCTCACCCCTGCTCATTTAGAACCCCTGCTCCTTATCAAAAGGAATGGATCCTACTTCGCCTTCTGCAGGACTGTCTCATGCTTCCCCATCACTCGCTAGTGTAATAACCATAAATCCCTGCAACAAATTATGGGCACTAAAGGGCCACCTTTCGCAGGAATGAAATATTTGATCCCTAAAGCACCTAAACCAAAGGACCAATCCAATAATGACTGTATCAGGGACGGCGGCTGGCTGAATCGGGGGGTCTCAGATTCCCCCATGCCGCCTCCCGTCTGGTCTGCATAGGACCAACACGAGAGGAAGACATGCACCTCCTTGGAAAAGGTAGCTCTTTGCAGACTGCTTGTAAGAGTCCTGATTTTATGAAAACCCAGTTTTTGAAAGACTTTGTGATAAACCAAGCTGGAGAGAGTACGTCACAGTTTTATTACAATATGGGCCTTTTCTTAGGGTATGGGATTCATTTGTTGCCAGGAGCCGCCCACCAGCCAGCTAAGCCTCTACCCAAGGACACGGTCCGGGAGAGAGATGAGGGAACGCACGGGGTATCCTCAGAAGATGGCGGTCGGCAGCTCCTGGTCCTACTCACGCTACTAATCTTAGCAGTATTGCTCTCGCTGTTCTTTTTCTGTGCATGGGATATCTTGGGGGAAATCTCTCCAAGCAGGGGAAAGAAGCTGATGTAACCTGGCCTTCTAGGGAAGGTTCAGGGGAGCAGCAGCCTGAAGGGAAAAAACCTTCTGACCCCATCCTGAAAAGGCGGTAAGGGAATCTGGACAGCCCTCAAGGAGGAAGCCTTCTAATAATCAGCCTCAAAGGAGAACACTCCCTCCTCAGGTCCTTCTAGGAGGTAGATATTATCCTAGGCCTGTTAGGACAGGAGGTAAATGGTGGCACCCACCCAGGAGCAGAGGCATGCAAAAACTACCCCTTCCTAAGGCAACTCACGATCCTGATAAAGTTGCAGAAAAATATCATAATATATTGACACAGGGGAACTGGGATTATGATGAGGATTGAGAACCCTATAAAATAGTTAATGGTAAAAGAGAAACCCCAAGCACTGTGCCTGTGTGGCTTTCGATCAGACGGAGCTGGGGGCCTGTGTGTATTTGGTCCCCTTACACTTTGCAGTACTTCTGCTTTCGTTAATTTGTGGCTAAATAAAATAGCAGGATTCTGTAGTCAGAGTCAGTACCTTAATGAGATCCTTAATCTCTGGGAGAAAAATACGAATTAAAACATGAACTAGAGGCTGGCCCCGTGGCTGAGTAGTTAAGTTTGCACACTCTGCTTTGGCAGCCTGGGGTTTCACCAGTTCAGATCCTGGGCGTGGACCTAGCACCACGTGTCAAGCCACACTGAGGTGGTGTCCCACATGGCAAAACCAGAAGGACCCACAACTAGAACATACAACTATGTGCTGGGGGCCGGGGAGAAGAAAAAGAAAAGGGAAAATTGGCAACAGATGTTAGCTCAGGTGCCAATCTTAAAAAAAAAAAACAAAAAAACATAAACCAAGGTATCTGCCTTTGAGGGCTACCCCTCTTTGTTTCACACTGGGTAGGATATAGGTGCTAACTGCAGCCATCACTTGGGAGAATAACAGGCTCAACTGTCTCCTTATTTCTTGGTCATCTTTCCCACTGCAGAGCCTAGAGGAGGGCAGGTGACATGTCTGGTTAATACTAGCCCCCTCCTAAGGAAGACAAGAGAGTCACATTTTCTCTGTTACATTTGAAACCAAGATCACTCTACTCACTCAATTCACTTTGTTCTTGAACACTCTTGGATGGTTTCCCTCTGTATTCATAAGGTCCTTCATCCTGGATTTTCAAAGTAACCTCACTTAGTTCTCCTCCATGCGCCAAATGTACACTGATAATGAAATGTTACTAATCCTTTAAGAAGCCGGGAATTTGAGCTATCTTTGGACTTTGAAAGATTTTGAAAACTGGGTTTTGGTCTCTGATCACTGATAATGTTTTCAATTTGGAGTTGGAGCAGCTCCCTCTGGTAATAAGAACAGCTTGAGTAGGCAGGCATGTTACCGTTCTAGAAGAGTTCAAATGAGATTTGCCCGAACAAGTACGGGAGAAAACCGTGGCTTCTGTTAATGCCGTGCCTTTTGGGCAGAGTTTCCTAAATTACAGTCAGCCATTTTTCACTTTCATGATTTCTACCATATCTGAGTACCATCTGAAATTTTATTTCCTATTTTTCTTTAAATCCATTCAGTTATACTTGAATAAATTTATTTTACTGCCATAAAACTAGTATTACTTGTCCTTAATTGAAGGTAATAAAATAAATGCAATGAAAATAAGTTATTAAATCCTAGCTAGATAAGACCGCTTGCCACAGGTTCTGAGCCTAAGGCCCGTCTCCCTTCACATGAAAGGGAGACGAATGTGGGCTGAAGACATACTAACGCCACACTGAAGCGTTCCTTCAGGGAAAATACGGTGAATGGAGAAGGAAGTGAAGAAAGAGCCACTCTTCCTCTAATGCTTTGGATTCCAAGTGGTACTCAGCCCATCTTTGGGAAACACTGCCTTGGACAAACTCATTCCCTTTCTATTCTGTGTGAGAAATTAAGTATTTGATTGACTGGACTTGTGTGAGAACCGCTTTCCAGGATGCGATAAGAACACCTCAAATGAGGTAGATGGCACTCTCCCTACACCCAAGAAATGTGCCACCTGACAAGGGATGGAGTAAACTGAGAAGAGAAAGACACGATAAATGCATAGAAGCGAGAGTTCCAGAAACATGCAGGTACTTAACAGAATGTGAGCCACAGGGGAAAGAAGACAGATTTGTGTGTTCTGTTCACTCAAGGATCTTTCCCTAGCTGTTAGAAGAGTGCTTGGCACAGAGCAGGCCGTGAACAAGTCTCTACTGAGCCACAGAGTGCAAACCACATCCCCATCTCCTAGTGGTGCTATACCCCAGGGATCACACGTGGGGCTGGACTGGCACAGTCTGGAGAGGTTACGGAGAAGGAGGATTTGGACAGAATCTTGAAGGAATTGCTAGGCAGGGAGCACACACACGTACACATGCTCACACGCACACAGTGGCTCAGAACAGAAGGTACAGGGTACACAGGACGCAGGGGTTACATTTGTCTGACCAAGTTTGTGACCTGCGAACAGCCTCCAAAATGCGAACTATCCTCCAAGTTGAATGAATGCTCCCCTTTCCCCAGACCTAAAGCCATTCCCCTTGTTCTCAAACATTATACGCAAAGACTCAGATACACCCTGCAAAATGAGCTGATGTTCCAGCAAGACAAACCATCTTGTGTTAGAGGAATGATGCCTTCTATTTCTATAAGCCATGGGTTACTTTTGGAGAAGCCAGCTTTCTGTAGGTATGTTGTTGGTTTATTGATTTTGCTGTATTTCCTCAGTTGGTAAGGCGGGCTCCTAAAAACTGCAGCTCAGCGTTTGCTATTTTTTGTTAAAAGGACTCATTGTTCTTCTAGTATTAATTTGCCATCCCACGACCTGCTGCTCTAGAGATAGCAGTCTCAGGCAATGTTTTTAAAGAATAAACAAGAGAAGAGATGAGCAGGATTAGGAATGTGGGGCAGTAAGGTGAGAATCAGGCTGTTACTGCTATTTCTGAATTAGCTGTGCCTTCAGAGACATGGCCCTGGGCCTCGAGGTCTCTCTGTCCGCAAGAGGGGAGCAGCACTTCAGCCTCACCCCGAGGGGCGCTTCAGGACCGCTCTGAGGCGGGAAGGAGTCACTCGAGCTCTAGCTACACAGACTTTGTGACAGGCTCTCCGTTTCCAGAAAAATGATGCCATGGTCTTAGTTTGGGAATTTCCCCTGTTGGTTAAGTGATACTAAATCTTCAGCTTGCTTATACCTGAAGAATGTTTTTCACAAAGCTCATTTTTGTCTTCGTTCACACTGAGGCTAATCTTTAAATATGGCTAAATAAGGACTTAAGCCAAACCATGAACCAAAAAGCTAGGTATGAACCTTCTTAATTTACTGAACCTCAAACCTAACCTCATTTTTTTACACTGAACTACTAACAACAGCTTTGACTTGTTTTTTTTAAACAGACATACCTAGTGAAGCAGCACTGCAAAATATTTCTAAACTTGAACTTTAAACTAAAGCTTCATTTGTTGAGTCTCCGCCTCCCATTCGCCAGTCTCTTTGGGAAGGGCCGTCTTTGGTGTTCCAGTCTGTGGCCAGTCCAGACCCAGCTCTCGGCCTCTGGTAGGTGGAAAAGGCCAAACTTCCAT